AACTTGAAGAAGAAGAATGAACCAAATGTTTAAAATTATAGGATATGGTCGATAAAAGAAGATGATATTGAAAGCCATACCCAATATGGTTGAAAAATAAATGTCTGGTTAGGAATATTTAGACATAATATTATTGCACTACTTTTCTATAAGAAAAATTTAAATTCAAAAAAGTTTTAACACTTGCTAGAAAAGATTTTATCGAGACTTGCATAAATAGCTCCAGATAAAGAAGAAATTTGGTTTCAAAAGGATGGATGCCTTGCGGGCAAAACTGCTAGCTTAAAAACAACTTAATAATTGTTTGATTGAATATAATTCTAACATTAAATGGCCTCAGAGATCGGGAGATCTAGCTCCAAACGATTATTTTATCTGGGGGCATCTAAAATCAAAAATCTATTTTGACCAAAAATTTACAGATATTGAAACATTAAAAATGCGCCAAGCGTTTTGGCTAATGTTAGACGAAAATTTTACACTCGAATGGGATAATGTTTAGTAAAAAATGACGGATTGTTTGAACATTCCATATTTAAACATAACATAAAGCTCTGCCAAAGCTCGCACTATTGTCCGAATAAAACATAATTGCGATTTTTCGTCAACTGAGTACATTTCCTTAACTTTATTGCTCTGTAACCAATATAAATTATTATTTACAAAGTAATATTAATTTAACAATCGTAAAATAGTTTCGAAACACAATTCAGATTTCTGCTTTTATCTGTGCTTTCTAAAAATTGCAAAGCAAAACAGACGTTGATAAAGGTGTTAAAAGAGACGTGGGGAATCTAAAATTTGCATTCCACGACACATCTTTTCAACTAAGCAGAAATCCTTAGCGAATTGGTTTCTTGTACTCGTACAGAGTAAATCCGAAAAAAGTGAAAAAGACAGCAAATATTTGATTTCACGCAAACAGCGCCTTTGTATCTGTTGATACGTATTTCGACCTAATAGGTCTCATCAGAACATTATTCAAAGGTGTTCTCAACGTGAAAGATCAATATTCCCTGTCTTTTTAGAAGCAACAATAACATGGCTTCGAATACGGACGCACTAGCGACATCTAATTTAACAATCGTAAAATAGTTTCGAAACACAATTCAGATTTCTGCTATTTATCTGTGCTTTCTAAAAATTGCAAAGCAAAACAGACGTTGATAAAGGTGTTAAAAGAGACGTGGGGAATCTAAAATTTGCATTCCACGACACATCTTTTCAACTAAGCAGAAATCCTTAGCGAATTGGTTTCTTGTACTCGTACAGAGTAAATCCGAAAAAAGTGAAAAAGACAGCAAATATTTGATTTCACGCAAACAGCGCCTTTGTATCTGTTGATACGTATTTTGACCTAATAGGTCTCATCAGAACAGTTATTCAAAGGTGTTCTCAACGTGAAAGATCAATATTCCCTGTCTTTTAGAAGCAACAATAACATGGCTTCGAATATGGACGCACTAGCGACATCTAATTTAACAATCGTAAAATAGTTTCGAAACACAATTCAGATTTCTGCTTTTATCTGTGCTTTCTAAAAATTGCAAAGCAAAACAGACGTTGATAAGGTGTTAAAAGAGACGTGGGGAATCTAAAATTTGCATTCCACGACACAATCTTTTCAACTAAGCAGAAATCCTTAGCGAATTGGTTTCTTGTACTCGTACAGAGTAAATCCGAAAAAAGTGAAAAAGACAGCAAATATTTGATTTCACGCAAACAGCGCCTTTGTATCTGTTGATACGTATTTCGACCTAATAGGTCTCATCAGAACAGTTATTCAAAGGTGTTCTCAACGTGAAAGATCAATATTCCCTGTCTTTTTAGAAGCAACAATAACATGGCTTCGAATACGGACGCACTAGCGACATCTAATTTAACAATCGTAAAATAGTTTCGAAACACAATTCAGATTTCTGCTTTTATCTGTGCTTTCTAAAAATTGCAAAGCAAAACAGACGTTGATAAAGGTGTTAAAAGAGACGTGGGGAATCTAAAATTTGCATTCCACGACACATCTTTTCAACTAAGCAGAAATCCTTAGCGAATTGGTTTCTTGTACTCGTACAGAGTAAATCCGAAAAAAGTGAAAAAGACAGCAAATATTTGATTTCACGCAAACAGCGCCTTTGTATCTGTTGATACGTATTTCGACCTAATAGGTCTCATCAGAACAGTTATTCAAAGGTGTTCTCAACGTGAAAGATCAATATTCCCTGTCTTTTTAGAAGCAACAATAACATGGCTTCGAATACGGACGCACTAGCGACATCTAATTTAACAATCGTAAAATAGTTTCGAAACACAATTCAGATTTCTGCTTTTATCTGTGCTTTCTAAAAATTGCAAAGCAAAACAGACGTTGATAAAGGTGTTAAAAGAGACGTGGGGAATCTAAAATTTGCATTCCACGACACATCTTTTCAACTAAGCAGAAATCCTTAGCGAATTGGTTTCTTGTACTCGTACAGAGTAAATCCGAAAAAAGTGAAAAAGACAGCAAATATTTGATTTCACGCAAACAGCGCCTTTGTATCTGTTGATACGTATTTCGACCTAATAGGTCTCATCAGAACAGTTATTCAAAGGTGTTCTCAACGTGAAAGATCAATATTCCCTGTCTTTTTAGAAGCAACAATAACATGGCTTCGAATACGGACGCACTAGCGACATCTAATTTAACAATCGTAAAATAGTTTCGAAACACAATTCAGATTTCTGCTTTTATCTGTGCTTTCTAAAAATTGCAAAGCAAAACAGACGTTGATAAAGGTGTTAAAAGCATGTTATTGTTACTTCTAAAAAGACAGGGAATATTGATCTTTCACGTTGAGAACACCTTTGAATAACTGTTCTGATGAGACCTATTAGGTCGAAATACGTATCAACAGATACAAAGGCGCTGTTTGCGTGAAATCAAATATTTGCTGTCTTTTTCACTTTTTTCGGATTTACTCTGTACGAGTACAAGAAACCAATTCGCTAAGGATTTCTGCTTAGTTGAAAAGATGTGTCGTGGAATGCAAATTTTAGATTCCCCACGTCTCTTTTAACACCTTTATCAACGTCTGTTTTGCTTTGCAATTTTTAGAAAGCACAGATAAAAGCAGAAATCTGAATTGTGTTTCGAAACTATTTTACGATTGTTAAATTAGATGTCGCTAGTGCGTCCGTATTCGAAGCCATGTTATTGTTGCTTCTAAAAAGACAGGGAATATTGATCTTTCACGTTGAGAACACCTTTGAATAACTGTTCTGATGAGACCTATTAGGTCGAAATACGTATCAACAGATACAAAGGCGCTGTTTGCGTGAAATCAAATATTTGCTGTCTTTTTCACTTTTTTCGGATTTACTCTGTACGAGTACAAGAAACCAATTCGCTAAGGATTTCTGCTTAGTTGAAAAGATGTGTCGTGGAATGCAAATTTTAGATTCCCCACGTCTCTTTTAACACCTTTATCAACGTCTGTTTTGCTTTGCAATTTTTAGAAAGCACAGATAAAAAGCAGAAATCTGAATTGTGTTTCGAAACTATTTTTACGATTGTTAAATTAGATGTCGCTAGTGCGTCCGTATTCGAAGCCATGTTATTGTTGCTTCTAAAAAGACAGGGAATATTGATCTTTCACGTTGAGAACACCTTTGAATAACAGAACTGTTCTGATGAGACCTATTAGGTCGAAATACGTATCAACAGATACAAAGGCGCTGTTTGCGTGAAATCAAATATTTGCTGTCTTTTTCACTTTTTTCGGATTTACTCTGTACGAGTACAAGAAACCAATTCGCTAAGGATTTCTGCTTAGTTGAAAAGATGTGTCGTGGAATGCAAATTTTAGATTCCCCACGTCTCTTTTAACACCTTTATCAACGTCTGTTTTGCTTTGCAATTTTTAGAAAGCACAGATAAAAGCAGAAATCTGAATTGTGTTTCGAAACTATTTTACGATTGTTAAATTAGATGTCGCTAGTGCGTCCGTATTCGAAGCCATGTTATTGTTGCTTCTAAAAAGACAGGGAATATTGATCTTTCACGTTGAGAACACCTTTGAATAACTGTTCTGATGAGACCTATTAGGTCGAAATACGTATCAACAGATACAAAGGCGCTGTTTGCGTGAAATCAAATATTTGCTGTCTTTTTCACTAATATTAATTTATTGTGTAGTAGTAGTATTTAGTAAAATTTATTGTTTATAACTTAATCATAAAATAAAAATATTGACAAAAGTCAAATATTATTAAACATCTTACATCAATATGATCAAACGCAATACAACATACACACTTTTGCACTACGTGTGGCCTGACTTTTATGGCTGGCCTGAGAAATGTATATTTTGATAAATTTTGGAGTAAGTTTAATTCGTAAAACAATTTTATCATTTGTTATTATATTTTTTGTCCTTGACTGGACACAAAGGATCGCAGCCACAGAATCCTTGCTGAGTCGGCTTCTTTGTTTCCTCAGGGTCAAGTAGGTTCTGAAGAAGAGCTTTTCTGCTGGGACGGACGTAGCTGGAATTGATAGAATAATATACCTGGCCAAACGAGGCATGGTAAAAAATTTATTCTGGGTCTTTCCGCCAAGATAAGATGTCCACGTTTCTGTCTTCTCATTTTAGAACTTCCCCATCGAGCATAGTAAAAAAATGTTTTTGTAAGCAAAACTTCAATAAAAATATTATTTTTGGGGACTACCAAGTAACGCTAATATATGTTACTCATTCCTTATACCTGTACAAGATTCCAGAATTCTAGAATCGATATCCTAAGTGAATTGAAGTACAACAAATAAGCCATTTTACCTCAATAAGACCAGTTCGCAATGGACAGCATCCGAAAAAAAAATGTATATACTTGTACAGTTTTTTGCCAATATATTATGGTATACGAATTAAAAAACAGAAATAACTACCAAAGCGCTTTAGGTCATGTAACATTATGAAAAAAAAAAAAATGATTGTGCTGTGTGTTAATCCAATTGTACTTACTTCATTTCTACTTCTTTAGCTATCTGAAGAATGTACTCCATTGCAGTCTGAAAAAAATATTTTATAATTAAAAAGAAATAAAAATTAAAAGGTTTATGTACTTTTACTACTGATCATGGACATCGAATACCAAGATACGGCAGGGGAGGCAATTCTCAGAATGTGAAGTCTATATATGAAGCAGGGAAGATCCACAATGTAATACATCAGATGAGGCGACTTAAAGTCAATATAATGGGACTAAGCGAGACCAGATGGCCTAGATCTGGCGAAATTGAAGTCGACGGTGCCAAAATATACTACTCAGGAAATGAAGATAGTCACCCCTATAATGGCGTCGGGATAGTAGTTGATCGCAGTTTTTGCCAGGCTGTAACTGGTTTTGTTCCTATATCGGATAGAGCAGCGATACTCAACCTTTTTTTTCCCTGGGCCGCATAGTAGCTATTGCCACAGCTTGCGGGCCGCAATCTAGGTGAAGTAGTATAAATACACACACACACACACACATATATATATATATATATATATATATATATATATATATATATATATATATATGTATATATATATATATATTTATATTTATTTATATATTATTTTCAAAATACTGATTTCAAAAATGTAGAATACTTGCGCAAAATTTCGGTCAAATGCTTTTTAAATGCATTAATTTTTTTAATCCTTGGAAAACTAATAAGAATTTTGGAAAAATTTAAACGCAGAATAAAATATTACAATACTACCGATGGCCAAAAGTCCCTAAAAACTTCTATAATGTTTATTTTAATAAGTTACAGGGGTGCAGGGCCGTGCCGTGCTATGATACGGCGAGGCAGTCGCATCAGGCGGCATCACAAGGGGGCGGCATTATCAGTAAAATAAAAAAAAATGTCAGGCTGTGTAAAAATGTCAGAAACTATAGACAAAACGAAAAGTTACAGATAATATGGCTAATGACCAAATGAAAATTTAATGCAATTGCAGAAAAGTTCATATATGTATTGCATTTCCAGCTGAAAATGAAATTCGAGCCAGGATAAAAAAGCGAGCCAGGATAAAAATTCATTGGTTTTTTGGAAATCTGAGAAAACTAATAAGTATTTTTGAAAAATTTAAACGCAGAGTGAAAGATTACATTATTATCGAGGGCAGAAAGTCCCTGAAAATTTCTATGTCTATTTTAATAAGTTACACAGGTGAAAGGACAGAGGAAATTTATTGTGATTTTTAATTTCAAATATTTCATTTAAAAGAAATTTTTTATTTATTCTAAGGGAATTTAGGATCTGGGTAATAATGAAATATTTTATTCTGCATTTAAAGTTTTCAAAAATATTAATTAGTTTTCTCAGGATTTGATAAAAAATGCATTTAAATAGCATTGGATCAAGATTTTGCGCATACCCTCCTAATAAAAATGAAAGTTAAATTTCAATCATATTTAAGAGGCGGCATACAATAATGTAATCTTTCATTCGGCGTTTAAATTTTTCAAAAATACTCATTAGTTTTCTCATGATTCGAAAAAAATTAATGCATTTAAAAAGCATCTGACCAAAACTTTGCCTAAGTATGATACATTGTTGTAACCAGTATTTTAAAAGCGTTTAAATGAGATGTCACATGATGTCTGTACTTTCCAATCTAAAACAATCATAGTTACGACTACGATAAATTATTTATATCATATTTTTTTTTTCAAAAGAGAAATATACCCAATATTATTTCTGTCATAGACGGACATCCATCTGTGCATACACATACCAACTTTTTAACGTCAATGCTATTTTTTCCAAAAACGTACAAATAACATTAATGTAATCACTTCCTTTGGTATGACCTTTCATCGGATGAAATTTGAGAAAATCTTTACGAATTCCATAATCCTCAGTACAGTACCGTACAAAAAGGGAACATTGTGAAGTTGATGAAATATCAGTGTTTGAATCAAATGCTAAACTCCAATATTTACAATTCTTCAAGTCGTCGATGATATGATTAAAAATATGTTTCGAAATATCTTCAATTCGCCTGACGCACGTGGAATCTGAGAGTTGTAGTTGTCTGATTTGTGATATTATCTGAGTTTTATTGCTGAACTTCTCAAATAGAATATTTGAAGCATTTATAGAGCATTTCTTTACAATCTCAGCGTCAGTAAATGGCTTCATATGTTTTCCTAATAAATAGCAAATTTCGTAGGACGCTCTCGTTACTGATACATCTTGGGACATTGAAACTGCCTTTATATTTTGCTGCTACTGTAACGACCTTTTCAAGACGCATAGTTTTTCTCTTCGCAATGCAGAGCCGACTGGGAAACTATCCAGGAATTGGAAATGCAAACATAGCATAACAACGTCAACTTCGGGAAATCCTCGGTTGAACACCACAGGCGCGGACCTTTTTATATTATAAATTAGACATTGTTGATTAGGGAATTTTTAGTAATAGTTTTATAATGAATTACAAAAATATCTAATATAATCGTATTTTTTAAATTTTTGGATTTTATAAATACATATGTAGATAAAGTCAAAAATTCTTAGTTAGCCTTCGGGCCGCATAAAAAACGCCCGAGGGCCGCATGCGGCCCGCGGGCCGCAGGTTGAGTATCACTGGGATAGAGTGTTAATGATCACAGCCCAAACAGCGCATAGAACTCTTAATATCATACAGGTATATGCCCCCGCTGCAGATAAAGATAAAAATGAAATAGAAGAGGACTAGGAATAAGGAACGAAAGAGGGGAAAGACTGACGGAATTCTGTCAGAAGTTTGATATGATAGCGACAAATACATTCTTTCAGTTACCACCACGTAGATTATATACATGGAAATCACCTGCAAACAGCAAAGGAAAAATTATCATAAACCAGATAGTATATCCTTATCAGTAAGAGATACCGTAACTTCATCAAATATCTAGGAACAGATAGGAACAGGCAAAGACATATCTAGGAACAGATATGGCATCAGATCCCAATCCAGTAATCGAAAAATTCGAAATCCACTTAAAGAACATAAAAAATCAACAAAAGGCACAACAAATAAGCACTCTGCTAAAACACCCGAATATAAAAGAAGAACTAAAGTTGAAAATTAACGAGGAGTTAAGCAAAACAATAATCAATGATAATGAAGATTCAAACGAAAAATGGGAAACATTTAAGAACACATTATTGATGCCAATTAAAGATACGCTGAGTAGTCACAAAATCGATGAAGCTAAGACTCCATGGATGACAGATGAGATCCGGCAACTAATGGACAAATGAAGATCATAAAAAACAAAAATGTAAACGAATACAAAGCCACACACAAGGAGATCAGGATATGGGCAGCTAAAGAGAAGTGGTAGAACGACAAATTTTTAGAGATAGAAGAACTCCAGAGAAATCATGATAGTTTTGAATTGTTCAAAAATATTTAAAGAATTAGCAGGTATGAGACGGTCCAACAATTTTAACATCCTGGTTGATACGACTGGTAAAATAATATCTGATATCAAAGGCAAACTAAACAGATGAAAAGAATACGTCCAAGAATTGTTTGAAGACGACAGGACACAACAAGATAGCATGAACGATTACGAGGAACATTATATAGGTCCAAATATAACTAAGGTTGATATAATACATGCAATAAATCTGGCAAAATCTAATAAAACTGCGGGGCCTGACACAATTCCAACTGAAATAATTAAATTAATATCAGAAGATCAAATCAATGTATTAGTAGACTAATATAATACTTTATATAATACGGGTATTACTCCGAGAGATTGGCTCAAATCAACATTTATTACATTACCAAAAAAAACCTAATGCAAGGAAATGTAATGACCACCGTATAATTAGTCTAATGAGTCACACACTAAAAATATTCTTAAAAATGATCCATTTAAGAATTTTCAGAAAAGTGGAACAAGACATCACTGAAACCCAATTTGGATTTAGGAATGCCCTGGATACACGAGAGGCATTATTTGGATTTAAAGTCCTCATGCAAAGATGTATGGATGTAAACCAACCACTCAATGTTTGTTTTATTGATTTCAATAAGGCGTTCGATAAGATCCGACACAACCGTCTTATACAGTTAATTAAAGATAAACACATTGACAAAAAAGACTTAAGAATAATAACTCATCTCTACTTTAACCAAACTGCAAAAGTCAGAGTAAGCAAAGAACTTTCGGAGGAAGTAGAGATAAAAAGAGGCGTAAGGAAAGGTTGCATACTCTCCTATTTATTGTTCAATCTTTATTCGGAAGAAATAATTAAAAAATCACTCGAAAATGTAACAATTGAAATAAAAGTCAACGGCAGACCCATCAACAATATCAGATATGTCGATTATACTATACTAATTACAGAGAATATACAAGATCTACAGACACTCTTAGATAATGTAGTAAATGCTAGTGAGGAAAGCGGACTAACGCTTAATGCTAATATAACAAAATTAATGACAATTTCCAAAACAGAACAAGACATTCTAAACATAAGAGGGGTTCCAATAGAAAAAGAAAAAATACAGATATCTTGGTACAATTATTAATGAAAATAACGAGTATACAGAAGAAATAAAAATGAGAATTGGACAAGCTAGAGCAACATTTCATAAGATGAGAAAAGTACTCTGCAGTAGAGACCTTAGTTTGCAACTCAAAATAAGAATTTTAAGTTCATATGTGTTTTCGGTGCTGCTGTATGGGGTGGAGGCCTTGACCTTAAAGAAAAAGGTAAGCGATCGACTTGAAGCATTCGAGATGTGGACCTACCGAAGAATATTAAAAATAAGTTGGGTGGACAGAATAATAAATGTTGAGGTCCTCAGAAAGATGAAAAAGGAAATGGAAATCATGAATACGATTAAGATAAGAAAGTTACAATATCTCGGCCATTTATGAGAGGGGATAAATATGTGTTGCTACAAACCATCATGCAGGGAAAAATACAGGGAAAACGAAGTATTGGAAGAAGACGCATCTCCTGGCTCAACAATCTGAGAAAGTGGTATAATTGCAGTTCCATTGTCTTGTTCAGAGCTGCAATCTCAAAAGTGAAAATAGCTGTGATGATTACCAACCTCCTTAGAGGAGACGGTACCTAAAGAAAAAGAAGTACTCTTACTAATCCTTAATAAAAAAAATTATTAAAATCCTTTGTAAAAAGTATATATTTAAAAACCCAAACGGGCTATGTTAGACAAAACGTTTTCGGAATCCATATTCCATCATCAGTGTCTAGGTGTACATGAATGTAGCCACTAAATATGTAGGTAAAACCCCTTAAAAATTATTTAGTAAAATTTAGTTTACATTATTCCTTATAAAATATTAAGATGTTAGTTGCTCAGTTGCTTTCATAAAGTCCCGCAGAATAAATAAAAAAAACCTATATAAAATTAAAGAAATAATACCAGCTTTTAGAATAAACAACAACTTGGGCAAAAATATCCACTGCCCCAAAACTTACATTGGTCAAAGTGGTAGAAGTTTTAACAAACGTATAGTAGAACATAAAACTGACTTTCAATAACAGAAAAATAGATTCTACATACGCACTTCACCTTCTAGATCATAATCATTCTTTTAATGACGAATCCCAAATTCTTCGCATCCAAAATAAAGGCCTTAAACTAAGAATCTATGGAAATTAACAAATTTAAAAAATCAGATATAACTCTGAATAACCAACTTAAGACAAACAGTTCTTCCCTCCTCAAACTATTCAATTAAAGACTATAAGTGTAAAACACATACAACTGTATACAGTATAAACACACACCAAAGATAGATCACTTGAGAAAGGCACTCTGCCGAAACAGCTGTAGTGATAAGATAATATAATAAATTATGTAGAAGTTTTGAAAACGAAGTTTTCAACGTTATTGCTATATAAAATAAATTTCCATTAAGTAACGGTCTAATACTTCACTTATTTAGAAGATTGTTATTTTTGCAAATTACTTTTCGTGACAGTTTGGATAATCTGTCACTGAATATAACGAGACAAATGTGGTTTACAAAATTGCAGGTTCACTTAATTTCATATTAATGTTAGAAATAATCTTTGACACACATTTTTTCAACGATAAATTGCCAAAGGAAGTAATTTTGAATTGACACTAAGAAGTGCATAAAATAACCTGCTTGATTTTTATTTTTTAGTTCCCTTTTTGGAGGCATATAAGGCATTGCATTTTTGACTGACTTAACATGATTATGTAATTACAGTTTAAGTTTCTTATCAATAATTGTAAATTTTTTTTATAAATTTCGAAAAATGTTAATCTACTTTACTTAAATTTTTTTCATTGGCTCGAAGAATACAGAATTTTCATAAATATTGTGTCTAATTTAGGCCATATGCAAAGTATATTAATCTGCTATAAGTTTTATCATACCATTTTTTATTTTTCCTTCTAACTCTCCTCACTTGCAGGTATTATTATTCCAGTTTTATATTGTTTCATGCACAACTTGTTTTTCAACATCAAACATGTATATGTGTTTTTTGCTGAATGATTCACTTGATTTAATAAAGGTGTGACCGCTAAATGCACACCAGTGACTCATTATTTAGCACATTCAAACAATAAACAATACAACATATTATGCCATAAACTAATTCACACAAATATTTTTTATTGTTTTATACAAACAAGAAATTATTTAGAAACACTTACCTCTGCTATCAAAATAACAATAATCGTATCGTTGGCTTCTTCGGAGGATAATCCATCGATAAGGTTTTGCAAAGTATCCATTAAATAGCTATATTTTTCTCTTTTAACGGTTGGTATTCCCAAAACCAAGGAAACGCCCTCTCTATTTTTTGACATTAAATAGGCTAGCTTTAAGCTATTGGGGTTATCCAGTAAATGTGGAAGAAAATGGAAGGCTGAAGGAAACTTCACCGATATACCTAGAACAATTAAACAAAAATTTACACGTGTGCTAATAGGAATATTTGACTTGGGTTCTATAAAAATAAGAATACATTTTTCTCTTAATGTTTATAATAACATGCTTAGCAATAAATAATCCATATTTGACATGTGTGTGATAAAGGAATGAAATGAAATGTAAGAAATAATATATAGTGTACGAAATGCGAAAGATAATACGTGTACATAGATCAAGAATAATGTAGTAATTAAATAGAGGGGATATATAGATAATGCCAGTAGCATATAACATGATTTCACTTCGTAAGTCCCACATTATAAAGTATATTTCACGAATTTGCAACTATTTTGAATTATAGTTAGACACTCGACAGCTAATCCACTGTACAGTAGGGTGGAACGAAAAAGTCGAAGTCATTATTTTTTTTGGGGCTAGTGCGGAAAAGTTGCGTTTTGATGTATAATAAAACTGTAAAAAATATTTTTTGGATTTGACCCTATCTTCAGGTTCCATATTGAATTTAAATTTTTGGAAATAACAAAAAAAAATAAAATTTAAAAAATTTATTTTTTTATTAGTTTTTTTAATCAAAATAATTGTTTTATGATACAATATACATTTTATGATTGGTAGTCTGATTTTGTGTTAAAAAACGGCATAATATTTCTAGACTGCAACCTTGAACGAATAAAGCCATCCCTTGATTCTGGTCCATAAACAGCAGCTGATGCTTCAGTTACTAACTTAACAGTTCTTTCGACAGATTGGGTATGACAGGGGCAGTTTAAGACCTCTATTTTGTTGTGATTCCCGGAATCAATCATATCCCTTACATTTTCATTGGAAATATGTTTTAGCAAAGGCGGAGCCGTAACACTGCATTCAGAAATAGAAATTAAGTCAATATAATCTTCAGCACTAAAATTTAATGTTGGTATTTTAAATCTCCGGATCTTTTTTCTTTCTGACTTTGTCTAGCTTTCAGCACTCTGCGTAGTCCTAGCTCCCGTATATGTTTTTCGTTCATCTTTTATCATTCCGAGTAATAAATTTTCGGGATGGGCAAAATAAGCATTCCTTTGGATAACTGCATCGACAATTTTTCTTTGGTCAACTGGTAGAAATCGTGAATAATGGATCATTCGCCATAAATGTTTCGAACCATCAGAACAGCTAGGATACAGTTTTATATAAAACCAAACTGGTGCATACACTTTTTGGATGAAACTTACTAACATAATTAATTGAGGGCTGGGACATTCAGTGCCAACATACAATCGAAGCAACCGATTAGCAACTGTCAGCCACCTTGCGTGTGATATTTTCCCAGGTTTTTGAAGGCTCAAATCGTTAGGACATTTTCCTGCAGAAACTGCTTGACTGATTTGGTACAAGTACTTCTGATCGGTACTAAGGTCTGTTGTTTCTAATAATACTGGTAGGTTGTTTTCTATTGCAACGAAATTGACGACAGCTTTCTCTTCACAGCGTTCCAGAAGTTTTCCTATTGGCCCTGAAAAACCAAGTGGTCCACTGGTGCGTCCATCTAACTGTTGTATTAAATGACGTAGAGGTAGTTCGTTGCAATGAAATAAGCATACTAGCCATTGAAGTGAGGTGCCGCAGTATTCTTCCAGTTTTCTTATAACGCCTACTTGAGGGCTAGTGTTCACTACCGTACCATCGCATCCAACTGCGCTTAACTTCGATATATCAATATTATTTTTCAGGATGAATGTCTGTATGCTATCCGCGATGTTTGCAGCCGATCCTGATAAAGGAGACACGTGCCCTAGATATCGAGAGCCTGGTTCTTCAATAATTGTTACATGTTCTTCTGTAACTACTTTTCTATAAAACTTTTTGCCTTTTTTTGTTGCAAGACAGTCTTGTCTTTACGCCCATCAAAAAATATACTTCTGATTGACAGTCCCTCCTTCTGCTTCTGGAGTGAACGTCTATGAGATGCACGCTGTCGCCTTATTTTCATTCTATCAATTACTTTCGATGTATCAGTCACAGTTATAACTCCCATATCTTTTAAGACCGCTGATGCTATAATTGCAGCAGAACGATCGGAGACCCCGGTTCTGTCGCACGCCGAAGCTAAACTTGGCAAGCAAATCCGCATTTGTGACGTAGATGGTTGGACTGTAACTGTTGACAAAGGGGCAATGAATTCTTCTTCATGATCATCTGCATCAGAAGAATTTGAGTCAGACAAGTTGCTACTTATGGAACGATTTGAGGAATCAACGGTACATGCTTTAAGAACAATTTTTTCAGTATTATATTTTTGAGAACTTGCCTTTGCCTTCGTGGTTCTTTCCATTTTCTTCCTTATTGCAGCAGATGCTGCAATATCCACTGGTCCAATTGCCATTTTTCTACAGGATCGTTGATCTTGAAGAAAAATTCGCTCATTTTGTGGTACTTTCTTGGTTTTATCACAAGTACACTCACACAGTGTTCCACTCATGTTGCACTTGCAAGCCGCGATATCAAATAACTTTTCACACTCATTTCGAAACTGGCAAATCTTTTCTTTGTATGAATTAGATGCTTGCTGAGTTTTTGTGTATCGCTTCAGCTTTTGATACTCTGTATAAATATTTTTGATCATATCTTGAATGCGCTTATGCGATAATGTTGGAATAGAAGCTTTTATCCATATTTGTTCTACTTTCGTTGCAACGGCATTCGAGGCGTCGGCGATAGATGGATCTTTATTATTATTTGTCAACTTAAGTTTATTACGAATAAAGAGAAAGCACTTTAGAATGTCACACTTAGTGGGTAAAACACGATCATTGAAAACACCAATAATTGTTCCTAGTATTTCACAGTTCAAACTACTTCGCGTTGACATTTCGAAGAATATGTTTATATACGACACGTCTGTGTGAGATAAGAAACTCAACATTACTGTTATCTGTTGTTGTGTCACTATGCCTGCGTGAATGGTTGCAAGATTGATGTAACATCTGCGTCTGCGTTTTTCCCTTCTCTACCTACTTGATCTACAACTGGCGTTGTTTGGAACACGTACTTCATACCATCAAGCTTCAATGGCATTATGGAACCTGACAGGAGCGTCATTTGAAATTTTGATATGGGGGTGGGGCAAGCATTATATATACCATACATTATATATGCAAACATAATACAAAATTGATCTATTTTTTGTAAATTTCAGTCATTTTCAGGGCCAGGGGGAGGGGGCAAATGCCCCCTTGACCCTATCAAATGACGCCTCTGGAACCTGAAAACATCGTTTAATTTCAAAATAATTTTGCATAAGATGCTTTTCAATCCTAAAGACGACTGTTGATCACAGCCAAATCGATTTTTTCAACAAAAATATTTTGTTTGTTTTTTTCATTTTTCAAATCCAATATGGAACCTCAAGATTTTTTTTTATTTCAAAATGCTTTCGCACCGTTTGTTTTCATTACCTGTACCACCCTACTGTACAGTAGGTCAACTCTACCCAGGGCCGAGCCTAGAGGTTTTGCCGCCCGGGTTCAAGAAATAAATTTGTCGCTTCTTCAGCAGTTTTGGAAAACGTGTATAAAAAAACATCGAAAACTAGGGAAAATTAATAAAAACAAAATTTGGAACATTTAAATCATAAAAATATATTTATTAAGTCAAGGAATAGATACATATCTATAATAAAAATATGAGCTTATACAACATATTATGTACATAAATATAATTTGGTATAACTAAAATACAAAAATGTGCATAGTTATTTTGCAAAAAATAAAGTAAAATAAAGAAAAAAGAAATAGGTAGGTATAAACGTCTAAATACCAAAATCTACTTTTCTTGACGTTTTAAGTACAAATTCCCTAACTAGGTCAGTAACATCTAAATTAAAACAAATATTTTCCTCGATACTTATTACAGCTAAATTTGTAGGCCTGGATTGGCTCATGGTAGATCTTAGGTAGTTTTTTATTAATTTAAGTTTTGAAAATGATTGCCCCACATAACCTACAGTGACTGGCATAGTTAAAAATATTCTAAACGCAACAAATAGAGATAGGTTAACACTTCTTTGGCCAGCATATTATTTTTATTAGTAATGTAAATAGACAATATCAATCTCATTGTAAAGATCTATTGCATTTATATCTAAATTTTTTGTTTCCAGGTCAGTTAGTTTAGATTGGTACAATATTTAATTATTTCCTTTAAAGGAAAGACACTTAAGTTATTTAAAAAACCAAAAGATTCAACATGTAAACAATTTACTTTAAAATCTCATCTTTATGTTCATATTCATAAAAAGTCTTTTTTCTTCTTGGTCGAACTTTATGAACTGCAGGAAATGAAATTTCTGGATACATTTCTTGAGCTATTTTTTAATCTTTATTAAGCGAATTTATAAATCTCTTGTCGGATCTCATGTCTGTTAAAAATGTTTTAATTCCATTTAACATTTGTACCGGGTGGTCCAATAAGCCGATCTCTCGGCTATATATCAGAAACTATTCATGTTATAACTTTAGGAGAAAAAATTCCTTAGTAAAACTGGGCAAGAGAAATCGCTGGAAATAACTTTCAAGATTCTGGATTAACCGCTAGGGGGCGTAACCTGCGAAGAAAATTTTGAAAACCAGTTTTTTGAGAAATATGTCCAATTATACCAAGTGTTAAATAAGTAAACTAGAAAGAGGCATAAATTCTGCACAAAGTTGTTCAAGTACTTTTTTTTATTTTTTCAAATAAAAGGTGGGGGAGAGTGGGAAAGTATTTGTGGGTAAATACCTATAACTTTGGTTTGGATCAACCGATTTTAACAAAATTAGTATCATTAGAAAGAGTATAGATTAATTAATTTACATCTACTATAAAATAATTGCATTTAGTTTTAATTGTCGTAGGTAGAGGGTACTTTCGAATAGAAAAAATTAAAATTTGTTTTTCTTCAAAATTTTTAATGGAAACACCTATTTATTGTAAATTATAATGGAACTGGGTTAAATTCGTAACAAAATGACGCAAACC